ACGAACTTTTGTGACCGGATTATTTAGTAGTTACCTACTCTGTGCTAAGATTATGTAAATGCATATTCCTCAATTCACTTCAAATGTGACTGCAAAAATACACGTATTTACATTATAATTATCAATACAAAGATCGAACACATAACACTAGTTATAAATGTTTAGTTTTTATAAATACTTAACGTATCTGTATGTATTTAGTTGGTAAGCCTTACTAACTAAATAAAAATAAAATAAAAAAACACTGAGAAAAAATCCTTTGATCCGGCTCGATTCGAACCAGCGCCTTCAGCATACCGTGGCTGACGCTACGAAACGAACCAGCTACTTTACGATTTTTTCTAGGTGCTTGTTGCAGATCCATATTTTTGTTTTTTTAACGCTATGTCGCGAAATCTACGAAAGTTTTTCTTCACTCAGCCAGGCACCTTTACATCTACCAGCGGCGGAGATGTCGCTTCGACAATTGCTAAAAATAAAAACAACCATAATATTTTTGTGAAAATACTACACTTGTTTGTTGTTGTTATTATTAATATAAAGGTCGAACACTACGGACATACTGCTACGTTTCAACCATTATTAAGTATTATATTATTAGTTTCAATTATTACGAAAGAAGCTGTTTATAATTCAAGTCTGGTCCTGGAATGACCAGCTAAAGAAAAGTAAAATCACTTTTCACTTTCCCGTTTTAACGCGAGCGGGCACGGCATTTTCCCTCCATTAAATTTCTGTGCTTCGGGAATTAAAAAATTAACACGAATTTCACATCGCCAACTCACCGTCTGGTAAAGACGTATTCATTCTTTTGTAACCCCTTAAAAACAAGTCATTACCGAAGCGAGTTAAATCGAGCGTCTTATTCTGGGGATTTTTTCGTGGTGCTCCATTATTTAAAGTCGATCGCTCGACTCGACGCGACGGGCACCGTTTACGCTAAAATGATATGATTAATTACCGACTCCGGTCTCCCTCATTAGGGCACAAATAAGATCACTCATTGGTGAAATTGAATCACGAGCGCTGGCAAGCCACCCAATCGGAGTCTAATTATAATTATTATTATTCATACGAATAAATAGCACACGTTTTCTGTTCAAGTACTTGTGGTTCGGAACCTTATGTTTTTCAATTGAATCGGCTTTTATACTTTTAATTGCTACTGGAATTTTGTGCAGCGCATTTCATACACTCAGATCTACTTTATTGTTATATAGCGTTCTATTTTCGGCTAATATCCGTAAATAAGCAGTGCTCTATTTTGTAAGCCATCGTAAGACATTCAAGTACAATTTGAGCACTACGAACGACAATTTCCAAACAAATGATTCGGTCGTAAGTATACCTATGGCTTTTTTTTTCGGATTCCTCCATAAATAAGCAAGTCATCACGTCTCATAATCCACGTACAAGGATACACAAACATGAATGAGGTACTTATTTACGTAATACTTAACATCGTAAAGCCGAATGCGGGAGGGTGTAAGGGAATTCCCTGCTTCAGATTTGAGGGTCCCATAAAAATGTGAATATTTCTCGCGGTAATTCCAATTTGAAAGATATGGTAGTAAAAATTTTACGCAAAATTCTTAGCGTGATTGATAGAACTATAAAATTTTGTTCCGGATCAACTTTTCCTATTTGTTTATAAAAACTATATAATTAAAGAGTTGGCGTGTGTTTCTAAGTAGTAGAGCTCCTTGTGAAAGACGTACGCCCAGAGAAGTATTGCCACCCTACCTATTTCTGCATCCAAGCAGTAATGTGAGCATTACTGCGTTCCGGTTTTGAGAGGTATAGGGGTGCTGGTGAAATTACAGGCACATGGGACTTGTCAACTTGTATCTCAGGGTGACAGGGTTTGCGTTTAAGCTCTGAGTGGCACTGGAACTGCTATGGACAGGCGTGTCGCTTACCACCTGGCCCACGACATTTACGTCTAGTCACTTGGTATATAAAAAAAAAACGCTAGTAAACGTTAGGCACTAATTAGTTAAAAATATAAAATGTTCTGTTGCGCTCGCAACTTTTCTACAGTATTACTATTATTGTTATGATCTTTATTCTTTTCAGCTTGTCAGCTGGTTTGGAACCACGGACCGAAATGAAGTAAATGTAGTATGGCGTGTATCTACGAGTATGTGGTGGGTGTGTAATAAGATTTTACTTCGTCCTCTTCTGAACTGACCTTTCTGACAATGCGGCTTGTAGAGGCTTTCTTTACACCCTAACAATTTAAAGCTATGGAGAAGATGATTAGGAATAATGCTTGTTATGAAAAGAACAACTGCGATAACATATATCTTTTCCTGTCGCCAAATTCTAGACACTTCATCCTTTATTTCTGGGTATTTAAAGGTTTTTTCATTTATAATCTTCGGTTTGTTATGTGTGTTGGGAACTGCAATGTCTATTAGGTACGTAATTTTATTTATTTTATCTTGTACAGTTCTATCTGGTCTATTAAAATGAATTGTCGTGTCGTAGTAGAGTTTGTGTGTTGTATTTTGTAGGATAGATTGTGGTGTGTATTTGTACTAAGGAGTGTTTGTGTCTTGTATGAGTGCGTATTTGAGTGAAAGCTTCTGGCGAATGACGTTTGCTACTTAGTTATTATTATTAAAGTTATTATTATTATTATTAGGGTGGCTTAATTCGAGGCCTAAGAACCCCCTCATTATTTCGATCACTAACCGATCTATTATGATCACCAGTAATTACAGTTCGTAGCCAAAGCCTCAAAGCATCGAAGAATGATGGACTTTCCCAACTCCGATAGTTTTTATGTCGTGTGGCCGTGGCCTGTGCTTTCCCAGTATGAAACTTCGTACGTAAGGGTAAGAAGATGCAGAGGAGCTTCATGCACCTCGTGGCAGAATCGACACTTTGTTTTCTCTCTACCCAACAGTGGCGAGGCGTGAATATTGTCAAGTCGGAGCATAACAAAAACACTTGCTTTATCAAGTGGCGCCTTGGCGACAAATGAACACAACACTTATAGGCACACAAGAGATTTCACTGGTTAATTATTGTACACGTAATAATTGAATACAAAATGTAGTAAATTACTTTGAAATATTTGATGATACACCCAAAAATTTTAGGCAAGCTGAATCGAGTTATATGGACGCCTCGCCACTGCTACCCAACATTTGACATTTGCTTCTGTGTTGTTTAGTACAGTAACTAAATATGTTTCAAGCGTCTCCAGTTACTTTCAGACTTATATTATTTTGAAATATTTGATAACTTAACCGGCGAACAGGCTATTCTTTGAGTTACCGAGAGCGAGGCAACGAACGAGGTGAACTAACCAGTTCACCCCACTGTTTTCCCAAAAACAATAGAGTTATAGTTGTCTAAGTAGCCGCCAGCGATACCGGGTACAAGTCCAAGTTATTGGACACTCGACCGGGGAAACTTTCGGTAGATTATCGCAGATACCTCCCCAATTTATTGCCCCATCGTATTGTTAAACGCTAGCTAATATTTCACCGTCCGACTTCTTTGTTCATATTTTTGTGATAGTTTCGAGTTTAAAAATATATTTCGATCTATTATATTTTAAAGACGATTCAGTTTAGTTTTATGGGACATACTGTGTATCTTCACAGTTGAGTTTATCGTTTCTTTAAGAATTTGAGTGTAATTATCACAAAACATCGATAATTGATAAAGGGAAATTTGCATAAAAACAATATTTATCACTACAAAAGAGAAAAAATATATGGCAGCTGGAGAATGCTATAAAAACAGTAATTATCATTAGGCATATGGTAGTCACGTAACGTCGTAGCCATAATTTTATCATTAGACTGATTTTGCACCGTAATTTTTGAAGTCCAACACATCTTTGAACTTTAATTTCTTAGTTTTCCTGATTATGGATAATAAATTATAACAGACTAATGGAGTAATTTCTCAAAAAAATAATTGAAAATCATGGTGATGAAACATTCTGAGATTCAATAAAATTTAATTACAATTATTAAAGTGACATCTCTAGTCAGCAGCTGGTAGCTATAAAGATACCTGGCTGAGTGAAGAAAAACGTTCATAGATTTCTCACAAATGGCGTTACGGCAAAAAAGTCGTTAAAAATCGAAACATAGATCTGCAACAAGCACACGGAAAAATTTGTGAGGTCTGTTGGTTTGTCCCGTGTCTTAGTTGGCATAGCATCTGGCACGGTTTGCTAGGAAACGTTGGTTCGAAGTGAATTTTTTCTAAGCGTTTGTTTAGTAATTATACAAACTATTGGAGTAATTAAGATATTAAATCCCGTATATTTGTTTTTTCAAACAAACCCACGTTTCGAGTTTCGACGAGTCAACCGTGACCATGGGACCTGTGAAGGGCCCGAAACGTCGGTTTGTTTGAAAAAACAAATATACGCGATTAAAATCCGGAAAAATAGTTTCGTTTCCTAAACCTAAGAACTCGACATTGGAGTAATTTCACAAAAAGTAATTGAATATCACGGTAATAAATAATTTTGCAGTTAATTGACGATCTGGGCGGTACGACAGTTTGCACTGTAGGCGCTGAATGGGGAGGTTCCGGGTTCGATTCCCGGTAGGACCAATTTGGGATGTGAATTTTTAAAAATTAGTTCTGGCCCGGGAGTGAATTCCGTTGCTCTGGTACTCGTAATAAAGGGCATTCCTGAGTTTGAAACTAGGTAGCCGGTGTGGTGGTTTGGCATAATATTATTCATCATCACCATCCAAAGTCCGAGTTCACCCACTGTTGGGTATAGGCCTCCCGTAGTTTATGCCATCCACCACGTCCTGGCACAGGCCAGTCCCACTCGTCTACGGCCCGCAACATTAACGATGTCGTCCACCCATCTCGCTACATTATTATTAAGTATTAATTAAATATAATGGACGGGGATCCATTAGGGCGATCTATCTTCGAAGAATTTTGAACTTTTTCTTTCGGCTATGTTTTCTATTTCACTTAATAATTAATATTGTAAATGAAAGCATACTGACCTTTATTAACCATGGAGCACGCCGTACAGGAAAGATCCCCGCACCCCCCCACCCCCATTCAAGCGAAAGAGCATAGATTATAACATCCTATCTATATCACAAGCTTCCTCCTAGCTTAACACTAAGGCTCTACTACTAACACAATTGACACTTCAACAACGATCGGTAACCGTCCATTTACCATAACACTAAATAGAACTTTAACATTAGTTAACATGATAAAGAACAAAAAAAATCTCAACTAATAATGCCAAATTAATAAACAAAACCTTTTAAAAGTTCGCGTCACTAAACGTAGTTTTATATTTACAAGTAGGAAATTGTCTACGCAACGTGAACAACCTCTGTAAGTAGGTAACTAAGCCCGAACTTTTGGACACCCTATTCAGTGGACCCAGGAGGGGGTAATGGAGTACGAGGTGCGGGGTGCGCCTCCCCCCGAGAGGGTGGTGGGGACAGGCGGCGCGGGCGCAGCAAACTGACTCTCGGCCTCGGCTGCCATCGCGTTATGCTGCTGAGGGAAGTTGAAGTCCAATGTTCCGTCCATACTGAGCTCGTGCTTTATCACCTGTTGGCAAACAAACAATGCCTTTTAAGAAAGGTTCTGTCGCTTGTAAAGAATATAAGATAGATTGATAAGAGTGTCCTGCATGCAGGTATTAGTAGGTGTGTAGGGTTGATGGTCCATGAAACTGCATCTAGCGATGCGATCCTAATCGGAAATATGGGTAAACTCCGAGTTGCTACGCCGCCGCTAGTGCGGAATATCTTTAATTGAACATAAAAACTTAAAATTTACTAATGGAGCTAGTGACGTAGCCACATTAAGGCGACAGACGCTGGTTCGACAGTTGTGGTTTCAAATCGGATCGAAAGATTTTTTTCTGTTTGTATCATAATAATACCAAACGAGTAAAGTATTTTCACAAAAAATATCATGATATTCAATAAAAATAAAGCATTCACTAACCTCGTCAACATTACAATCAAATCCGTGTTCCAAAGACTCAATGTTCAAGTCTTCCGCGAGGCCTGTATTCAAAGCTCCCATTATCTGGCCCATTACCGTCGTGGGTCCCATAGGGGCCATGGCCCCCGATTGCACCATCATTCCACCGTTCAGCAGTGCTTGATCTGATGTCGTGACCATTTGGGTTTGGCTGTTTTCTGTAGAAAGAAGCGATTTTGGATTACTTTTGTTAAGAAATATAATAATAAATAATAATAACGCGCACACACCCATAACCCTGCTCTAGGGAAACCCTGTATCGCGGGTGCCATGGAGACACATAGACAACCACAAATTACACCCAAACTCACGAGAGAAATATATGTAGGCCATACAAATATTTCTCTCAGCCCGGGAATCGAACCGTGTGTGGCAGTCCATCATGGTAACGTTCGGCCACGGAGGCAGTGAAAGTTGGTAATAATAGTATTCATAATTTTAATTTTTCGTGCACTTTCAGAGTACGTACTTATCTATTACACATATTTTAATGTGTAATAATTGAATTAATATTTTATTTATTATATTTAAACTAGTTATGTTTTTTTTTTATAAAAAAAATAAGTGCGCACTTGACTCCCATCTCACCTAATGGAAAGTGACAATGAGGTCAAAGGCGGAACGTATTGCGTTTTTTAGAATGAATAAAAAAAAACGCTTTTATTGTCGCATTTAATACCACATAAACTACCGACGTCGAGTTGCGGGAAACAGGCCGTTACATCATAGCATACCATGTATGTACGAGCTTACGGTACGCCCCTTTTTCTATATCTTCGTTTCTTTATCTAAACATGAAACTGTTGAGTCGTGTCCTCTGAGACGTTAGGTTGATATTTAAGAATCCGCATAAGCCTTAAAGATAGAATGACATTGATTTAGTAGCTCGAACTGGAATCACTGGATTCCAGTGAGCATTACAAACCGCTAAGTTTTGAGTGCCTAGTTTAATGGTAATTACAGACAACATAACGCTGAAATTCTGATTAAGGTTGCTAACAGATTGACTGCATGTTTGCAATTACTGCGTGAAGTCGTCATCAACTCATACAGCCGAGACCACGAGATGATAACAACTTCACGTATTAGCTGTATGCAGTCGATTTCATCTGCATGATGTCGGTTTCGACTGCACGCAGTTAATGCGTGAAGTCATTATCAACTTCATGCAGTCGAGGTCTCGGAAAACGACTTCACGCATTACTGCATGCAGTAAACCGATTTCATGCAGCCGTAATCGACTGCATGCAGTTAATGCGTGAAGCGTTATCAACTTCATGCAGTCGAGGTCTCGGCTGCAAGAAGTTGACTAAGATTTCACACATTAAGTGCAAAACATGCAGTCAATCTGTTAGCAGATTAAAAGATATTACTTAAAGAAATGGAGAGCGCTTTTGTTTGTGAATCTGGATTCACAAACAAAAGGCATTCATGAGTTGTGAGGTATCTTTGAAGACAGCTATGTGACGATGACAACCATGTGAAGAAAAAAATGACTAAAGACAGGAGAATCTAGTAAAGCTGGTTCCAGTTACTGCATCAATGAAGTTCATTATAAAGAATTAAAAAATTACCTGTTTGCATAATATCAGCCGGATCAGCAGGTGGCGGGGGTCTGACAAAGTGGTCAAGCGCGTGTTGGTGCGGCGTCGGGTGCGCGGGGTGCGCGGGGTGGGAGTACATCGAAGCGCACGCGCAGCCTCCATGTGGATGCCGCGGACATGTTCCGTATTGGTTGTATCGATAGTTCCCACCCGATGACGACGACAGTGTCGTTGGAACGTACCTGTAGATTGTTCAAGATAAGATTGCCTTTTTCTAGGTTAGATGTATCATGCGTCGGAGTGTACTTCAAAGCTTTGTATTCTTTTGACTTTGTATTCGTTATGTTCATCGAGAAATCCATTAAAGATTAGAACTTTTCAAGTCTATGTCACTAGGTTTGGATGTCATCATCGTATTATATAAAAATCTTGTGTTATCATACGTTGCAGTATAATAAAAATCAATATTAAGTTTCCGCAGAACATATTATCGGAAAATTCCTTCTCTGTTCAAGGCGTAAATATTCTGCGTGACATTCGAATTAACCTTGCAAATTATTCCGCATAATGGTAATTTACCTACTCAGTATAGGAATCTAAATGAAGCAAAGCAACTCTAGGGCTAGGGCGAGTCGCGACATTCTTTGTTCGACTTTACTGAAGCGTTAAGCGGCTTCAAAGTACGATAAACATAGTAAAGAGATGGTAAAATATTTGGAAACAGACTTCGACTATTTCTCAAGATAGAAATAAAGATTAACTTAACAACTCGTTTGTTTTAGCAAAAGTCTGCTTTCAAAGCGTATAATAAATCCTTACGTGGGAAGGAATGGATCGGCTCCCTGAAGCTTCATAGAGTCAGCTAAAGATCCAGCCAATTGTTCTTCTTGCGCGTAGTCCACGGCCGAGAACTCAGTGGTCGAGGTGAAATCCCCAGTCGGGGTGTAATCCGTCGCCCAGTCTGGCTCCGAAGGGATCAGAGACGGGATAGGGGACAACCGTCCACAAGACGACGCATTCGAAGATGCCCTCTGACGGAAGTCCGGCGACAACTGAAAACCGCTGCTCCCCCAAAGCAAACAAGCGTCAAAGAAAGAAACGAAACTTGTATCACGGGACCGATGAATACCGTGACAATTGAGCGTGATGAAAAAGTTATCCACATACGATTTGTTGCTCTTAATGCAATATAAAATTGCTTCGAAATCAATTTGTCATAGCATCCATTCGCTAGTCAGGCAAATAATCGAAATTCTTACGCAGAAACAAAACTTAAAGCTATATTTATTTATCTATAATAAAAACGATTCTTGTAAACAATCTCGAACAACGTACGGAAAGCATGCAAAACTAATGTCTAAAGGCCCGCTAACATATAAATTCGTGATGCCAAATGAAGCGATCGCCTTAACGGGATCAATGGTCATTGCAAAAATATTTTTATTACCACGAACTATGACAGAGAATATTTTGGATATATGTGACATGGGCTTGGTTTTGGAGTATAGTCGGATACGTTGGACAGTGTAGTCAGGAATAAATATCTCGATTGCGCCGTAATTCGGACAGATATTCGGCAATAAAAATGTTAAATATCGGCTAGCTGACGAAATTCAGCATCGTCATAACTCATCATCTAATGGCCATGAATGATTTAAAACCTTTTATCACAAAGAAGCAGCGTTGCTATAACTTAGTTTTATTAGTCTGGTCAACAGAACTTTATGCCGATAGTTTTATAAAGTGGACCATGCGTGGCTAGTTGTACTCAGCAGTCATAAAATTTCAGTATTCCCGACTTTGCTTAAGAAATTGTTGAGTATTTATAGCCTTGGCACATAACTCGGTTGTTGCATTACCCGTATGGGTAACTTATTATGCCTTTAAAATCGTATTAGTATCGCATCCGAGTTCGTTAACATTACTGGCTTGATGCCATCTTTCTCTCTCGTTTTCTTCATGTGTGTTTGATTTGTGCTTACCATCTAGCGACTAGTCTAGCGTTTCTAGGAGTCAGCGAAACTATTGAAGACTTCTATGTCACTTTCACAACGTGAAAATACTGTTATACGGTACGTACTGTCATCTTGCTTACCTGTGTAGTGGAGAATCGGGGAATATGTCTAAACTTTCAGATACAGAACTACTGGGGCTGGGAGTTGCGTCGGCTGTCACGCCATTCCGTATAGACTCCACCTGAAACGTTTACGACAGTATGAGATTTCATATTTTTAAATGACGGAACGAACAAATCCTTTGCGTGGTGGTAAGCAATAAGCCCGTCCAAAGCAGTTACAATGCCACTCAGAGCCCCCAAATCGCAAAGACCTGATCCGGTCTTACAGCTTTTTAAACCGATTAAACAAAAGAATAAACAAGGTCTATTTAATTAAGTCTTCGTCAAGAGGCGTTTTCACCCATAGATATAGGAACTTCAGCTGAAGGTAATAATATAAATATTAGTTACATAATAATATAATAAATATTGTATATATAAAGAAATCAGTTGGAAAACATGCCATGTGGTAAGCGACACGCCTATTCATAACAGTTGCAGTGTCATTCAGAGCTTTAAATCGCACCGACCGATCGCACCAATCGACCTTATGGGTCTGTCACTGTGCCAGTCACCCTGAGATATAAGTTGACAAGTCCCACGTGCCCGAAATTTAACAGCACCCTTACCCTTCAAACTTATAACTTAATGAGTGCTGATTCTCCTTGGAATGTTGACGTTGAAAAACCTTTAACCCGTAAATTCGTTACACAACGACGTAGCGCTTTTCCAACGCGATTGTCGTAGGTCATGTAAGTACTGCATGATTGCAATTGTGATTGGTTGGATATGGTAACGTGCATACACTGAAAGTACTCTTTGTTACTGCCGATAAGAAAATCGTAAAACAAACTTCGTTGTTTCTAGGCCGTTTTTCAATTCATGATATCTCTATCCTGTCTCTTATTCGTTCAAATCTTATCATCATCAACTCATTTATACGTCCCACTGATGGACACGGGTCTCCTTCCTGGCGAGGGATTACGCAGAAACTTATGGTTAGAGCAGTTTACAATCTGAATCCCAGAGTGACTTTGAGAGATAAGTTTAAGAGTAAAGAGATTAACATTATTACACTACACAGAGAAAAAGGATTTCTACTAATAAGAAAGAGCAATTTCTCAAAATATTTGCTAATTCTGAAAAAATATTTATTAAAAGTAATAAAATATTGTCATTACAAAAATACTGCTTATCTTTTTCTAATACAATTTTACTCTTAACTTTATTCTAACTTTGAGACAAATACGTTCACTTCAAGATTTTATTTCATTTCTAATCAATTAATTGGACATTACTTACATCAAGAAATTTTTACCTCTTACATCAAATTTAAATAATCTTAAATGAATTCAAAATTTCTTGGGTGTATTTTAAGAAAATATATTCTTAAACAAAAAAAGAAGTAGTTTTCTATTCAGATTAATATTCTAAATTCTAGAGTATATTCTAAAAGCAACATTTCGTTGCGTTTTCATAGTCAATGTTGTCGTGACATGTCGCCGAAGGCGCACGCGGTAACGATTACTTTTACTTGTGCTTGTAATCATAAAAATCATAAACAGTCATTTATCCAAAGAAACAATACGTAGTATCTCTAGTATGTTAGGGTGTTATTTATAGTCATAATTTAAGAAATTTGGTTACAGCGTGAAATCAAACTACACTTGTAACAAGCACAACTTCAACATGCAATTAGTTTAATCACGCCACTGCTAGATGGCATTAGTTGTGCTCTGAAACACGCTATCGTTTTGTTAACTTCAATAGTATAAAGTCATCTCATATATTTGGAATTGATAGAAGAATGGGGGTTGTGAGCCTTCAGCTCGCCCTTTTTTTCCGGTGGCGCAGTAAAGGCCATCAGCGGCCAACTGCAAAATAATCACTCATAAAAAAAAAAGAATTGATAGTGCTTTCTGCCGCTATAGCATTTATACGGCACTGAATAGTCCTCAAGCGTTTGAGAAGAATCCGTCCTATTTCTGCTACTTTTAAGGTTTGACACTGAACTTGTGTGCTTTCACGCCAGTGAGACATACTGTTAGATCCATAACCCTGTAAATTTACCCTTTTTGATATTAGAAAACACAAATCTTCAGTCAAATAATTGAATACCTCTCAATTCGTAATTCTTTTTTTTTTTCAAATCAAAATCGGACATTTCTAATAACAAATAAATATTTTGTTGAATCCACAGTGGCTTTGTGACTAGAAGTAAATTAATTTACTCTTGGATTAAATATTTCTCTCTTATAACAAAAATACACTTTTGAGACGTTTTTTTACTATTATCAAGTAATTATTCTCTAGCGTCTATAGGGAGAGGATCGTTTTGTTGGATTTAATAAATTTGTCTTCATAAAAAGAATTTTGTCTTTTTCTAAGTAATCTGTTTTTACCGTGTAACGTTACAGTACATTTATGATAATGTTATTTATGTTACGAATAATGTTAATTTTTTTTATGAAAAATAGTGATAGACACAACATTAATACAAGGAATAAAAATAAACTCAGCTGTTCTTGACAGTCATCTTCACAAAGTCTCAAATTCATTTAAGGGTCAATGTATACGCGTCTATAACAACATTCCGATTGTTATTCAAAATTTATCATTTTCGAGGTTTAAAACTATAGTGAAACAAAAACTTTATACCATTGACTTACAATTATATGGACGTCGGGTCCGCGCTAAAAAGTGTCCGAACTTATAGGGCGTTAAAATCGTATACAGAGCGTCATTCACGCTTTAGTCTTCGTTTGTTCGACTGACAGCGAAGCAAGCAAAATAAGACAGTACTGCGATGACATTACAATTTAAATTCAACGTTTTAGCTTTTTCATATTCCTTTACATGTCACTACGTTTAAATAGGTTGACTTGGGACATTTTTTTCATGGTTTTTGTATTAGACCCGTCGTCCATTTATTTGTAAGTCAATGCTTTATACTAAAATTATACAGAGAAATCCGTGGTAGTGACGCGTTTAGCCCTTGCAGGTAGTCTCGATTTAAGATGTTTAAATTAAACAAGACGTAGCAGTAGTGCTCTTTTTGAAAGAGTTCGTCCAGGGAAGTATTGCCACCTTACCTATTTCTGCCGCCAAGCAGTAATGTCCGCATTATTGTGTTCCGGTCTTGAAGGGTAAGGGTGCTGGTGAAATTACAGGCACATGGAACTTGACGACAAATGTCTCAGGGTGACGGGCGCAGTGGCAGTATCCCTCACATCTTTGCGATTTAAAGCTCTGATCGACACTGCAACTGTTATGGACAGGCGTGTAGCTTACCATCAGGCGCACGACTTGTTCGTGTTGTCACTTGACATTATAAAAAAAAAAATTTAATAATTAAATTTTTATTGAATTGATATTCAATTATTTTTTGTGAAATTCTGTCGCCAGGACTGGTAGCTGTAAAGGTACTAACTGGGTGATAAATCTGTCATAGATTTCTCATAGAAGGCGCTACGACTAAAAAGTCGTTGAAAGACCAAGTACAAAGACACGACGCAAGCACATAGAAGAATTCGTGAGGTCCGTTGGTTCGTCCCGTGGCTTAGTTGGTATAGCGTCTGGCACGGTATGCAAGAAGACGTCGGTTCGAATCCGACCGGATCGAAGGAATTTTTTCTGAGTGTTCGATCTTTGTATTAATAATTATAACAAATATTGTAATAATTATATTTTGTATGGACACCCCTAGACCCCTCTTTCTTGCTCATTCATCTCGGGGGAATCTGCCTTACGAATGAGCAGTAGAGTTTAATGAGTATGACGATTTCAAGTGTAATTTGCTTAGCTTAAGAAATAACGACTATTCGACTTTGACTGTAATAATTATCGACATCGTCTTCGTAGAATAAGTACTACGAGTAGCCTAGTGTACTACTATACTTTCATAGTTTTATTGCTTCTCCTTGGAAACTTTCGTCACTGTGTCACCCCCTGTCAGATTCATTTTTGTGAGAAAAAGTAACTTATGTTACATGTATAAACCACAGGTATGTATAAACCACACGCACACACGCACACACACGCGCACACACACACACACACACACACGCACACACACACGCACACACACACACACACACACACACACACACGCACACACACACACACACACACACACACCCACACACACACACACACACACACACACACACATACACACACACACTCAACATAGCCCCACACTAGGGAAACCCTGTTTCGCGGGTGCCATGGACAAACACATAGACAACCACAAATTACACCCAAACTCACGAGAGAAATAAATGTAGGCCATATAAATATTTCTCCCGGCCCGGGAATCAAACCTGGGACCTCTGCGAGGCAGTACGGTATGATAACCGTTCGACCACGGAGGCAGTTAAATACAGGGTCATTATTTGGTAAAAACACGTTTTTGTTGTGTTACAATTTAGGTTACCATGACGAGAGTGTCACAAATTTGAGAGTTTATTTATTATAATTATCCAAATGGCATATTGTATTTAGTAGCAGTAGAACTCCTTGTGAAAGACATCGTCCAGGGAAGTACTGCCATCTTACTTATTTCTGCCGCCATGCAGTAATGTGAGTTTTACTGTGTTCCGGTTTAGAAGAGTAAGGGTGCTGGTGATATTACAGGCACATGGGACTTGTCAACTTATGTCTCAGGGTGACGGGCGCAGTGGCAATGCCCATAAAGATCTTTGCGATTTAAAGCTCTGAGTGACACTGCAACTGTTATGGATAGGCGTGTCGCTTACCACCTGGCATGATTTCCGTATCTATGGATGAAAACACCTCTTCAACACTTAGTTAAAACTGTAAATGTACATAGTTAAATATAACCTAGATTGGGACTAGACCTTGTTCATTCTTTTGTTTAATCGGTTTAAAAGGCTGTAAGACCGCAAGCCGGTTTTGAGTTTAAGTTGACCTCTCGATACTACAGATTCGCTCGTAGTGCATATTAATTTGGCTCCAATTAATTTAAATTTTTTTTCCCACAATTTCCTCTATAATGTAGACTTAGCTTATTACTAGTCCATAGACATGAGCTGTTAGCGCGTTTGATGTATTTCTATATTTTAGGCCTTTAAAGTCTTAAAAATGTATATAAATGGATTTTCATTTTTCTTATAACCTATTTCACCGGCTAACTCCGTAAACGCTGTTGGATAACGATATCGTATCCGAATCCGTATTGAACGTTTTAACTCGAATGTTCTGAATGGCTCGGCAAACGCCCGTCGATTCGAGAACGATATCCTATCGAACGATTCGGTTAAAATATCGAAGAGTTCTGAATCGGGGTCCTGACACGAATACGCTCTTACTCTAATTCTTGACAGTTCCTTTGTTTCTGTCAAACGTTCGTTTTTAAAACAAATCAACATCTTTACAGGTGACATGGTGAGGCTCACTGAGGTATCTTTAACACATAAGAAGTTCTTAAAATTTACCTTCTTCTTAACTCTCCCTCTCCGCTTTTCAAATTTCGAAGTCTCCATGGAAGCAGCACGTCGTCTCACTGATTTGCCCGGCTTCGCATCCGGGTTGATCATCCACCAGGACGATTTGCCCGTCCCCTCGTTCTGCACCCGCATGAACCGGTTATGCAGCGACAGGTTATGCCGGATCGAGTTCTGCAACCAATCAAACAACCCGTTAGTGTAAGTGTCCTCGTAAAATACAGCGTGGATTGTCTTTGTGGCTTTTATTATAAGACTTTGAGATATATTTTTTTAAATCGTAAGGAATGTAGTTCTCGCGATTGTTACACATAGGACATGAAACTATTTATCCGGAATTAAATTGCGTATATTTGTGTTTTCAGACACCTATAAAGGGCCCGATTTGTTGGTTTGTTTGAAAAACCAAATATACGCGATTTAAATCCGGATAAGAAGTTTCAATTCCTTTGAATATATTTGTTTAATTCTTTGTAACTAAATAGCCAAATTGTGAAGTTACTGAACAAGTAAGAACACAAAGTTTAAGTCCTTGAGGTGTATGAATTTAATTACTTTTGTTTTATTGAACGCATTTTATTACTAATAAGTACCAGAAACTCGGCTCCGACTACCTATTTACAGCCTTTGGAGTCGAAACCCTTGGTCCATGGAGTCATGGGGCCAGGTGTCCTTTAGCAGTACAAAATTTTATCCAGAAAATTAATAGACTGTCTGGGAAACTTAAATGCCTTATGTAGGTAGCTAACCTTAACCTTGTCCAACGCATTAGCATAGCCATACAAAGGGGGAACGTTGCGACATCTTGGGCACCGCGGGAACCCAATTTTGTTCATGTAATTTAATCCTAGATTTAGTTTCTAGTTAAGCTTTTATTGTACCTTACGTTTACATTTTAACTTATTGTGTAATATATAAAATTACTATTTAAATAAAATAGCATCAGGTTCAAGTAATTGTCCGGAATTATTATCACAAATATCACTTAGAGTTCCCTGTAAATCCTTAAGAAACAATTCTCTTTTGGTTCTACCCCCGCCTCATACTCATTATAGGCAAAATGAGTTTTTGTGGCGTGCAAGCAACAATTTTAACATTCTATGTTTCTTCCTTTGATCTGGATCTTTTCAATACGATTGGGATTTCGGCGAGGACAGTACTGAGTTTGGGCATTTGGACTCACCCGTAGAACAAAGATCTATGGGCAAGACTACTTGTTCTCAGGACGTAGTACATTTCGCTCGTTCTTCTTCACTGTGGATGTCCGTTGTTCGGTTTTATATTTCCGAAACGAAATAAGATATATGAATTCTACATACATAGACCTTAGTTTGAATAACAAAATTATTCTTGAAACCACATCGGACTCTGTTCTTCAGATGAGTCGATTCCTTTGACTCATAGTGAGTTTAAGTATTAAGTTATGTTTATAGCGATAGGTTAGTTAAATTGTGCATTCTTATATTATGTTTCTATTTGTGAGGATCTGTAATAGAATCTCAGTGGTTACTATTATTATATAAGTTAGTTTTAAGCTGTTGGTCTTCCTTTAAGATAAATAAATAAACCCTGTGGCTATCTGCCAGGCCCACGCAAGCATTGGTAGAGCGAGCTCAGTTGCAAATTCTTCGTGCCCTTTGCAATGAAAACCCACGCGCCCTATAGGCGATAGGCGAAATTCGCTACGGAGTCGAAGCCTCCGGTGACCAGAAGACTGGCAGTTACCTCCGCCTAAGTTTAATTTTGTCGATCAAAACTTTCAACCATTGGGGATGTAGAGTTTCAATTGTTACACTTAAATAGCACAGTAGCATAATATGTGTGTTGGAATTAATGGTACCGTAAAACGTGAGTCCTTCACAAATTATGAAAGAGTGGCGTAAACAACGAAGTCATCGCATTATTCATTACATCAACGGAGCGGTCTGCGTTGAGGTAAAGTGAGTTAAAAATAGCCGCTATAAACTGATGGAAGTTGAGTCGCACACGTAGGTATCCGGGCGTGGCGCACTGCTGACCACAAAAAAAAACTATTTTAATTTCCCGCCATTCAAAAGTTAGGTGCAATAACGTGTCCTATCTCACACCGGCAATAAAACCTCGCAACTTTTTCCCGTCGAAGGTATAAACGCGACCGCAGCAACGAATGAAGTTTAGCAATAAAAGAGTCCATAAATAATTTCCGCGTACCCAGTGAGAAATGCCACTTACGGCGGATATCTTTCGCTCCATGTAAATAAGTAAGTAGAGTTACGGCTTTCGTCTGAGCCCTAAATCATAAAAGTTGCTCAAAAAAAATCAATGGTCCCGTACTAGCTCTAACAATTTCGACGTCAATTTTCGCGGGTAATTTAACAAGAACGTTTTCTTGTGTTACACGAGAATTTTGAGCGCACTGGCATTTTCTACGTAAATCATTCAAATTTTACGATTCGAGATATACGTATTTCCCAACATTTTCTGCGTAGCGTTCAAACTTTGGTCGCAGCTTCAGTCGATGCGTCGGATTATACATACAATGTCCTATTTATTGATGGAAAATTCGATATCGATAGATCGATACGAATTTTAAATGAAACGGTGTGAATTTTATTAGAGTAGCGTTTTAGAATTTCGGACGTCACCGCTTGCCACAAAACCTTTGTAACTGTCCATTCCAACCGTTGAAGGTTGTCTATTTTTGAATGTGCGCTGCATAAAATTATAAATTGTGGTAGTGATAAAATGCCATCGTTAAATTTTAATACCTACAAGGAGCTCGAGCTCGCCTCAAAAGCCGTAATAGTTTCCAGCGCAACACAAAGGTTACCAGTGACCATCAGATTATTAGTAGGTGTGCACTGTTGTAACAGAAAAACCTACTACCAGATCGCGGTCTGCGGTGGCCCGTATGGATGTCTCCGCAGAGACAAGATGCATAAATGGTGGTTCAGGAATGCTAGTCTAACCCCATATAACTGCGGTTTACACATACAGCTCATGCAGCACTTGCGTGCCCCTCGTGCCCTGAACGAGGGAAGATCTCTATGCGGCCACGAATAGCGCAGTCAAGGTGACAACTTGCTATTCAAACACAATATAGTTCTAATATAAAAGAGCATCACACGATAAGAAGAAGAACCTACAAAGATATAACGAACTTTCAATAGGGACGCACGAAGTAAGAAAAAGATAATTTTAAAAGCAAAATTAATAGGTAAGGAAACAATACGGCGGGAAACAAAGGCATCGCCCAATTTCCAAGAGCAATATAACAACGGAAGAGTTCACAAATCACCGTTTAATTAACATTAAGTAATGCACAACAAATTGTGCGTGTACAAATCCGACGAATGTGGACAAGTTGTGAGATTTATCAGGCGTGGATGCGCATCAACAATTCGGTTGTCGACACGTTGATGGATCTGTCGCCACCAACCCTTACCACGGGTTCGAAACATTAAATCTGCAGATTCTTACCATAAGTACGAACATTACTATTAGCAGGTATATATGAATAATATAAACTGATCTCCACAAATGAGCCGTTATCATATTTTTTTGTATTTTTATTTTGCTTACCTATAATATATTTAGTTACAATATGATTTGATGATGACGTTTGAAAATTTGTATTTAAATGTACTGGCTGTGTATTTTCTTTTAAAGTTTTGTTTTATGATGTTGTGATTAAAAACTGACCTAAGCTCTTTGTTTTTTTTTTACTATAAATATTTTTATTGAAACAATTTGCATGTCAACTGTGCCAGAACATGCTAGACTCTCTAAAATAAAATAATTTCCACTGTACCTTGCCTCCTTCCGACAAATAAATAAATTGATTGATTGAAAGTTTAACTTAAACCGGTGAAAACGGGGTCTCAACTACTATCACAGTCATAGCGTTTATTGCATTATGTGGTACAAACAAATTCTTAAAACTATTACATGGTCCAATTTAAGTCCTGTAAGGACACTGCAATTTGGCTTACTTCACCAAGAACATTATTTTTCATAATAAAAAAGTTTTAGTAGCAGTAGAGTTCCTTGTGAAAGAGTTCCTCCAGGTTAGTACTGCCACCTTGCCTATTTCTGTTATGTCAGCATAACTGCGTTCCCGTATTGAAGGGTAAGGGTGCTGGTGAAGTTACAGGCATATGGGACTTGTCAACTTGTCTCAGGGTGACGGGCGCAGTGGCGATGCTTTTCCGGACTTTTACGGTTTAAAGCTCTAAGCGGCATTGCAACTGTTATGCCGAATTTACATTACGAAGCTTATGTCATGCATGTTGAAGTTGATTTCACGAAACGAATACAACTATTTGCCAAGTTTTGTTGGAATTAGTTTGCCACACATAGAGGTGGAATATTTTTTTCAAATTTAAATGAGACCAATGATGAGGTACCCTCTTTGCAGCAAAAAAGAATCATCGAAATCGGTTCAAAAACGCCGGAGTCATCGCGTAACATAAATACAAAAAATACACTCGAAATGAGAACCTCCTCCTCCGTGACATCTTTAGTAGCACAGCAATCATGGTACCAGTGGCATCAGATGCAAAAAAAACTTCTTTGATCGTTGCGATTTAAAACTCGGAGTGGCACTGTAACTGCTATGGACAGGCGAGTGGGTTACCATCACACGTACGTCTTGTTCGTCCCGTCACTTAATATTATAAAAAAAAAACTGCTGTGAATTATAAAAACAGTTCGAAAGCAAGAAACTTTTCAACTTGTTTGTAAATATATTTCATTTCAATATTTTTTTTTTGTGAGAGGTGGGGTGCACGAAAAGGAGCCTTCCCGCACGACGTACTATTATTTTCTTATACGTCTTGGCGCAGCCTGGGCAACCAATCGGCGAGTACCTTACGCCGATTGGCAAATCCTTTATCACGATGGCAAGCACTATAGTGTAAGCCGTCGATACTATAAGAAGTTTGTGGGAGGTACCTGAACCAACAATATTTAGAGTTTTGGCCGAAGGGTATATATCGGCGATTCCGCGGCCGATTACCTAACACCAGATTGCGTCACACGTCGCCGACAAGTGCAATTCGTGTAGATTAGTCAGAAATAGTGTTATATTATATTGTATGCATGTTAGTCCTTAAGGTATATATTATATAGGCCATGTGACCTGAAATAAATAAATAAAAAATAAATCGGGATTTAATCGTGTGTAAATATTTTAT